CGTTCAATAATATTATATTTTTTATTTATTTTCTCACTTTTCCACAAACCTTTAAAAACGTGCTAACAACTAGGCAGTGGGATTGCGGAAATCAAAACCATTCTTTGTGGCTTCACTATTCCAGACTTTCTTGGACCCTGGGTCTTAATTGCCAAATTTTTCAGTCTTTTGTTGGCGGTCTCTTCTGGCCTCTTCATCGGTTATGAGGGTCCTATGGTACACGTTGCAGCCTGCTGGAGCAACCTTGTTGCTATGTTAATGCCTAGATCTGTTGTCGACGAGGTTGAAAGACGGGAGGTATTCGCCATCTTTATTTCTCTTTTACAATTTTAACTGGTTCATTTTCTGCATTCCTTGATTTGCTTGACTTATCACTATTTAATTATTTTTTGGCAGTTGCTTTCTGCTTCTGTGGCCGCTGGCATTAGCGCATCTTTTGGAGCACCGATCGGTGGTGTCCTTTTCTCTTTGGAGGAGGCCAGCTCCTACTTCCCTTTAAAGACACTTTTCCGATGCTTCTTCTGCGCCTTCTTTGCCGCATCTATGGCACATGCCCTGATGCCTTTTGATGCAGACCACCTGGTAATGTTCGCTGTTGACTACGAGCCTACTTGGCACCTATTTGAATTGGTGCCATTCTCCATTCTTGGTGTACTCGGTGTGAGTGGTAGTAAGTCGACCATTGCTCTAAGCGCTTTTATGAGTTGCTTAGTTGATTTTTTTTAATCAAAGAGAGTGGAGCCATGTTTTAGTAATGGAAGCAAACTTTCGCTAATTGAAGTGGTTTGACCTGGTTTTCGCAACTTGGTCGTATTGTCTGGGCGACTTAATTGGACGCACTTTGTCCGAACTTTTGTCTCCTTGCTATTTCTTTTCCCAAAATAAAAAATATTACCTTGATCTAGTACTCTTCCTTTTGTTGATCTTGCCGTTCCCTGTTTTCCGAGTTTTCGTAGACATTATGCAAAGTTTTTGCTAATCCTGCCTTCTTAAATATTACTGTTCATTAGATTTCCCGTATGCATTTTGTTCTATTTTCCCCAGCTGCAGCCATCCTTTCTGTCTATTTTGTGTGCAGTCCGTACAATGTATTCCGCTATTTCGGATCTGTCCGTATCCATGTTTCTGCAGAGCTTTTGGTGTTTATTGATTCGTATACTGATTTTTCTTCCTGTTTCACCAATATTCTTTTAATCACGGTTGTCACATTTTATGCGATAAACTCCTGAGCAATAAAGTTTGTCAATATTCTCGTGTTGCGTTGGTAGGCTTTTGAAGCGTGTTGTATTTTGTTTTGTTATAACCTTGCTATTCCATTTTCTTAGAAACGGTAGCAATTTCTGGCTCAGTTCACAAAAAGCCAGGCTTATCCATTTTTTGTCGTCCTTCCATTTTCTGATCTTATTTCTCACTATATCCAAGTTTGTATCTTCTCCTTATGAACCCCATATTTCTCTCTATGAATTCTTTTGGGTACCCATTACTAAGGCATATCCGAGGCATTTTGTTTAACTTTTCGTCCCAGAACTCCATGCTCTCTTCTGATGATCAAACTCCTCAGTATTCCTATCTTCAGTCTTTAGTTGTGATAAAACTGGAAATTGAGGATTAGTTCCACATGTGATTTTTTTCTAATTAGTCTCCTCTTGAGTATCCAGTTGGAGCGCATGACCTCGACATCCTCCACTTCCATTGTGAATTTAATTATTCCATCTATTTGGTTATCAAGTTGAGGAATTCTTTTAAATTTTTCTCACAATACGACCGAAGTTTAAACTAGTCACCTAAGTGTCGCATAAACACTGCGTTACAGCGGTGACTTCTAGAATTTCTTTTCTAATTTGTCCATGTATACATTTGCCAAGAGAGGTAATAGTGCAGATCCCATCGGTAGTCCGAATGTTTGCTCATAGATATTGCAATTGAATAAAAAATAGGTCGTCTTAACTCTCAGGTTCATCAGTCATGTTGACAACTCTTTCT